CATAAATTTTGCATTGAAGAGATTAAAGAATCTTTATTTTTTATTTTTCATTTTTCATTTTCCCCTTCCTGATTTTTGGTTTTGCATACTTTTTCCGTTCTCTTTCCCTTTTTTATTGTTGCTTTAACTATTAGCTATTGTTTTATTTTCTTTTTCTCTTTGTCCCTCCACGGTCAAAACCCAAATATAAAGAGGAAAATGAGCAGAAAAATAGCAACTGTTGGCTCCACAACCACAACTCCCTCCTCTTCACCTGCAGGAGGGCAGAGATCAATACAGACAATGCTTCAACAGGAGGAGGAAAAGGACAAGGGTGTAACACTAGAGACAATTATGCAAGGAATACAAAAACTAGAAGCAAGAGGAGAGAGTATTGAGAACAGATCGGAGAATATCGAAAAGAGGTTAGAAAATATAGAACAAAAGACAAGTAAAACAGAAGAAAAAATTGAAATTATTGATTGAAATATGATGAAATATGAAGATACACTACAAAAAATTGAAGAAAGGGATGAAGAAAGAGAGAAAAAATGGAGAATATTGATAGTAGATTGAATATAGTGGAAAAAGACAACAGCAGAATATTGGGATGGGAAATGGATCGGTCAGATTTTTTTTAAGATTTCAAAACATAGAAGAAGAAAAAGGTGAGGACTTGGCGCAAATAATATCAGACTTACTGAAAGATGTGCTAGAGATAATCCAAGAGAAGATGGCTGATGGCATAGACGAGATGTTTCGAGTCTACACGAGATATGCAGTGAGAAATGGACTCCTGAGGGAAGTCCATGTAAGACTCACTAAGAAAATAATTAAATCACAAATTGTACAGAAAACAAGAGATAGAAAATTGGAATATAAAGGAAAGGAGATTGTAGTGTTGAAACAAATCCCAAGAAGAGTGAGAGAGATGAGAAGAACATATCAATTCTTGATTAAGATTCTACTTAAGAAAGGTGTTAACTACAGATGGCTTATACCAGAAGTTTTAATATTTACATGGCAAGGACAAAGATACAGAATAGACACAACCGATAAGGCAGAAGCATTTTTCAATGAACATTTGAGAGGAAAGGCTGAGAAGGAAGAGAAGACTAGAAGAGAAGATCCATTGGTAGACCTGCAAGAGGCATGTCCAGTTGAGATTGAGGAACTTGAAGGTGCGATATGTGGGATCCAAACAGAGGAGGGAGCTACAGGTGGCATTGACATCAGAGAACAACGAGAACAGAGATCAACTAGAGCTATAAATCCTAATTATAAAATATAGATATGGAAGAAAAATAAATGATCTCAATTAATATAAATGGACTTAACTCTGCAATTAAAAGAAGAAAATATTTCATAAATTAGGAAAATCAAAATTGGACATAATCTGTTTACAAGACGTTCATATTCAAAAACAGCATGAACATTTATTAATTGTTTATAAAATATATTTACTCCAAGAAATGTTGTTCCTTTTTGCAAATGTTTTCTTTGTGATGCAATATGTTGCTTTTAAG